TGCAGCCTGGGCAGTAGTACAAGAAATTATAGCTGCTGCTGGTGATGAAAAATGTGTTTTCTAAAATCATAAATGGAAATTCTAGGAATGAAAGTAAAATTAAAGAAAATATTACTGTAGGGAGTATCCTGTACTGAGCTCACAGGCGATGTGTTAACACAAGCAATGATAAGGATCAGTCAAAAAGCTAGGTACCAGTGTATCTCAGTGCTCTGTTCTGCTTGTGTTTCATTTTGAGCACAGTGTGTCTGTATCAGGGAGTGAGTTTGTAAGTTAAGAAGGAGGGGGCATCTTCAGTTCTAACATATTTTTATGGTTCAAGATGCAAGCATTAATCTTTTCACTAGAAGGATTGTGTGTGTGTATCCAAGTTTAAAAGTCAGGCATTAAAATGATAACTTTATAGGAGCAGTCGTATAAAACAGCAGAGTGTGTAGGATTGGGATGGGGCCTTATGGATACTGGAGTACCTGGGAGGATACCAGAGATCCCAAAACTGATCTCTGCGTCCCTCCACCACTGGAATAAATCAGGAATTTCAGACTAGTTTACCTTATTCTAGGAAATTATCCTCCTCGTTACTTCAAAGCAAATATTACCTCATCATCACATGCTAGACAACATGCCAAGAGAAGAACTCTTTCCAGTCCAAAATGTGACTGTCACTTTTTGCACATGAGGCAGCATCACTGATGTCTCACAGTGACTCATCCCGCTTCTGATCTGCTTTACTACCTAAGGCAGAGCTTGCTACCAAGTAACCATAAAAAACCCTACAGCTTGTTTTCTCACCTATTACTATTTAATATCACCTGTTGGATGAGCTTGTATTACTCTTGTATAAGAACTTCCAGGTTGATGTCTGTACACCATAAAAGGGAGGGGATTTGCAGCTTGAAGAAATATGCTGTTCCAACAAGAGTCATTTGCTGACATCTGGTAATTTGTAACTGTATTTACCAGATCTGCTGTCTGTGCTCTTACAAGCATTTTGGAGCAGATGAAGCCGTTAAAAAGCCTTTCCCTTTCAGTGAAAACATTCCCTAATATGCTGCCCTTCGTTGTGTTTCAGAGAGAGTGAACTGAAAAGCAGCAGCAAATTTTCACTTTACATTGCTTTATGTGTGCGATTAAAACCAAGTTAATTTTATACAACGAGAGAATCTAAGGAAAGGGACAATAATTAGATAGAACTAACAGGACATGGCTATTTAAGGAGTAGAATAAACACAAAATGCCTGTTGGCTGTCATTTACTCTAGCAAGGATTAAAGCAGATCATCTGAAGATTAGCAAATGTCAGATTATCAGATGCCTGAAGATGAGAGCTTGAGGTTTTCCTACAAATGTTTAATTTTTCACATTAACCTCTTAAGAACAATGTGCTGATTCTAGAAACCAACTTTTACATTTGATTAGGAAATTACAGCATGGGAGCAACCCAGTGGGCATAGAGATCTACAGTGAGGTCCCAGTGGACATAGGGATTTACACTGGGGGCCACAGAGCTCATCACAGCAAGGGCAGCTTTTAATAGGAAAAAGAAGGAAAAAAATGAAAGTGCTATTTCCACCCCTGATTAAGGAAAGATCTAAAAGGCTGGCTGACAGTCCACTTGTGGTCATCCCTGCTGGCACCAGCTCGGCATTGGTCCTACAGACTCAGCAGCAAGGCTAAAAATGAACAAAAATGCTGTGGGAGCTTCCTGGCCTGTCTCTCTCTCCATCAATATATCAGGCCTGGGGAAAACAGAGATAGCATCAGGCTGCTCATGGGATTTCTCAGCAGGGCTCCTCTCCCAGCTCAGATCTGAGAGACTGCGGTGATTTGTATCTTTGAATATGTTTTCAGTTCATTTTCCTTTTAATGATGCTGAAGCAAGGGGTGTCAACACAAAGGAAGATGTATCTGTCACTCTGTGCTGCTCTGGCTTCTAGTGGCAGGCAGGCTGCTGCTTGGAGCTGGCTAGAAAAAACGCTGTGGTTTGTTTTTTTGTTGGTTTTCTGAGGAAGGAAAATGTGCCAGCACTGATAATTGGTTGACTCACAGCATACAAACCATAAAGGGAAAAATGTGCTCAAAGATTTTCCTCAAAAAACCCCAAACCTTCCAAATATTACTGTGATGCTTCCGAGTGCCTCCTCTTGCATGGCCATACCCTGTGTCCCAGGGACCTAAGTGGTTTTCACCTGGAGATCATAGAATCATAGAATCACAGAATGGTTAGGGTTGGAAAGGACCTTAAGATCATCCAGTTCCAACCCCCTGCCATGGGCAGGAACACCTTCCACTAGACCAGGTTGCTCAAAGCCCTGTCCAACCTGACCTTGAAAAGGAGGAGATGAGCACCATCTTCCCTCCTTAGGGGTCCCTGTGGGAGACTCTGGTTGCAGTGTCACGTAGGAAATGTCCGTCAGAGATAAACAGAGATAACAGCTCATAAAGCATGTTTAGGTGAGAGGTGCCCAGCTTCAGTATCCAAGGGTCACTGAATGGCTGAGGCTGGAGGTACCTCTGGACAACATCTAGTCCAGCCCATGCTCAGAGCAGGGTTGGGTTGCTCAGAGCCACATCCAGGTGGATTTTGAGTATCTCCAACGATGGAGATCCTGCAACCTCTCTGAACATCCTGTGGCGTTGCTGGGTCACCCTCACAGTAGAGAAGTCAGTCGTGATGGCAAGACTTCAAACAAAAACCTAATAATTATTAACCTCTTAATATTTTCACACCAGAGCAGCAGCTGCCCATGGATTGTGCTGCACTGTTGACAGAAGGGTTGGTGATACTGTTGACCATTATTAACATTATTTGTTTAGTTCCTGGCAAGTGCAGTCAGGCTCTTTGTGCTAGGCACTGCCCAAACAACCTGGAAGGAAGATAGCCTGTTGCCAAAGGTGGTGTTATTTACCTGTTAAACAGTAGGCTGCAAAGGAATGGGTGGAGGGAAGCAAGGACACTGAAGCTTTTGCGCTAATCTCTGAACTTTAGCATCATTGCTTCTCTCATCCTGGCTGTACGTGGGAAGAGAGCAAGATCCTGGGTGCCCTACCTGGCATTAGCGAGTCAAATGGATGGATATGTCCTGTAGTGGGACATTTTGTGGAGACGTGTGAAATCACTCTGGGGCCTGTTAGGCACTTATTCATTCTTCAAAAGCTGCAGTACAAATATACTTAATATATATTTTAGAAGGACACACTTTTCAAAAAACCCAAGAAACAGTAAATTTTTCAGTTTCGGTGTTTTTCAGTCAGGAAATTAACTGAAGAGAAAGAGAAACAAGTGCTCGGTTACTTCTTCTCTTGGAAAAATGCCTTTCCAATGAAAAGATGTTTTTGAGTCTGCAGACAAGAGGGATAGAGGGTTTCTTTTCCCAGTGTTTCTTCTGAAGTAGAGGAAGAAAGGGAGAGAAATCATGACTTCACCAGAGAAAGAAAATGTGGTGTTTCAGGTGTCAGAGTTTTGAAGGGGGTCAGGACTTCAGGGCAGTCCAGCACTTGCCTTTCCAAATGCCTCCAATGAGAATAATTCCTCGGGAAATTAAGACAGGATGAGGTGTCTGTGTCACACTTTGACTGCAGATGCAGGCAACAGTGGAGAAACCAGGCCAAGATAGAAGCCAGCATCTCATTCCTTCCCAAGGAGGAGAGGCAGGGCTGAGCATGCAGCCATTGCTTTGGCACAGGCACTGTTTAGGTCCCTCTCTGATGCCCTGTGTGTACAAACCATATGTTACATCCCAGCTTTCTCTTTCCTGTTTACTTCTATCCATTTTCCCACATGCCATCAGCCCTGAAGCTGCTTTTTCTCCTCTAGCCTGTCTTGTCCAGCAGACTAATTCCTAGGTCATCTTCAAAGGACATGCAGAGCAGTAAAAGCCCAAGCCCAGAGGTGCTGCTGGAAGCTGATCTTCCAGCAAAGCCTGGAGAAACCTTGCCTTTCAAAGGAGCATTGAAGGTGTTCTCTGAAACACAAAACTATTTACCAGGTTCTGACACAGTTTATTCCTTTGACCCACATGGTAAAGCACATGTAAATCTGGGGAGTGGGAAGGGGGGCACCCAGCTTTGTGATGACAGGTTTACATACTGTCCTTTTGTTACTGCACTTCTGGATGACAGCAGTCAGCTGCACATCAGGGCTATGCAGGTTATGGCCTAATGAAATAAAATTCAGAGGATGAAGTGTCTTTGATGTAAATTGGTCAGCAGAGGCCCGATCCCTCAAAAGCAGAAAGCGCTGAAGAGCAGGACACAATTCCAGTCCATGTAGCTTCTCTTCAACAACAAATAGCCCAGAAGCACTTTGATTTTTGACTCCCATCCACATTCCTGTTCCTCTGCCAGGTGAATCCTGCCACCTCCTCTAGGCTTTTCTTCTCTGTGGTATTTTTGGTAACTAATATGAACACTGAGAAAGATTCCTGGAGCTCAGTTAGCTAACTTAAAACTGTATGATTTTTATATACCACTGGAATACATGGTATAAAACAACAGCCACAGAAATGCAAGCACCCTCAAAATAAGCGTTTACCTACATGGAAAGAAAGAAAAGGTCTGTTGGAGATTGTAATAGCCATATAAAATAATTTCAACCAGTCTCATATAAAGGTGATATCTTAGAACATTCTCCAGCCCATTCCAGCAAGACTTAGTTTAATGCATGCTGCAGTTAGTGTTTTGTTTGGAACTGCAATGATGTTCTCAGAAATATGTTCACCCTCCAGCCCATATTTACTAAGTAGATGCCAACTAGACCTGGGTTCAGCGGTGTTTATAAGGCCAGTGTTATGGGGATTTAAACTGAAAACAACAGAAAGCCATGCACAAACCAGAGCAGCTCTCATTGGCAGTTCAGAAATGCTTGCACAGGGTCATGGGGTGCTTATCTCAATTCAGAGCTGTCTCTTGTCTCTGACTCAGACTCTCCCATCTCTCAGTAAAGCTAAACTGTAGAAGAACAAAAAACAATTTTATTTTCTTGGTGTTCTTTCCAAGCAGCTCCAAGACCCAGAGGAAGAGCTGTCAGGATGCCAGAGCCAGCAAAGTCCACCTCTGCCCCAAAAAAGGGCTCCAAGAAAGCCGTGACAAAGACCCAGAAGAAGGGTGATAAGAAGCGGCACAAGAGCAGGAAAGAGAGCTACTCCATCTATGTCTACAAGGTGCTGAAGCAGGTCCACCCCGACACCGGCATCTCCTCCAAGGCAATGGGCATCATGAACTCCTTCGTTAATGACATCTTTGAGCGCATCGCTGGAGAAGCGTCCCGCCTGGCCCATTACAACAAGCGCTCCACCATCACCTCCCGGGAGATCCAGACGGCAGTGCGCCTTCTGCTCCCAGGAGAGCTGGCCAAGCACGCCGTCTCGGAGGGCACCAAGGCTGTCACCAAGTACACAAGCTCCAAGTAGCTGGATGTCACCTCTCCAATGGGATCATCAACCACCGGCCCCTCCGCGCAAGCACAGGCAGGCAGCCACAGTCCAGATAAACATCATGGCTATTATCCACAGCAATTTACAGCCTTGGGGTGCGCATGAGAAGCTGCCCAGTGGAAGAGGAGACAGTGATCTGGATGGTGGCTGATTTTCATAATCTGTTTGGGACACACAGCAGGTTTGGTGAGGCTGGTGGAGGAGGCCCCTGCTTTCACATCTCATCCAAAGGACTGACCAACTGTAGTATACCCAAACTCTCCTCTGTGCTTGGCAACATGCATGCTTGGCACTGGCTGGGGAGACAGGCAGTGGCAACACAGAGATGCCATCTCTTTAAGTCTTCCTGTTTGTCTGCTTTCTCACAGTCATCCAAGATGAAGAGTCAGCACTGGTACCCATCCTCTCTCTCATAGTCTAGATCCATCCCGGTGTACCCACCCCATGCCAGCAGAAGTGACATTGACAGCTACCAGGCACAGGCTATAGAATAAAATCCACATTGATTCAACAGCTATCTGTGCTTGACAGCCTGTTTAAAGAGCAAGCCTGGCAGGCAGATGCTGGTATGAAACCAAGCACTATTCCTCCTCACTGCTGCCACTGGATAAGCCATTAAGCAGGCTGAGGGTGCTGGTGCTGGAGCTGCCCACTGCCTCTTCCCTTGTGCCAAGGCGGACAGACGGACAAGGGGGAATGTTGGGGCTGGGTCACTTCCTTCGCTGGCTGCTGCTTTAGGACTTGCTTTGTGTGGAAGACATTGCTAAATCTGCTGTCTTTTCCTCCCTTGACGCTGCCTCTGTGCTACCTGCCATCGTACACATGGGTGAGATGGGGTGGTGCTTAGAGTACCATCTCCTGTGAGCACAGGGGTGATGCAGAACAAGCAGCACAGAGGTGTGGGGAGGGGACTGAGGACTTGGGAAGGGGTCTGGAGTGGGAGCAGAGGTGGTTAATGCAGGCTGGGAGAGAGGCAGGCTCCCCGCACTGTGGGCAGTTCACCTGTCTGCTTCAGATAGTCCCCACGTCTTCTCAAAGTCCACAGTAAGGTGAGCGATAATAAAAGCCGTAGAGGTTAGTGGAGGAATGTCTTGGTTGCAGGTTGTCTTGCCCAGACTGTTGGATAGCAGAAGAGCTGAGGAACTCTGTGTGGAGCTGTTGTGAAGTTGAAGCTTCCTACTCAAAACACAAAATTAGCCATCATTAAAAAAAAAGAAAACCCAACTCTCTGGTAGGCAGCAGCACTCGGATAGAAAATAATTCAGGTCTAAAATAACAACTACTTTCTGCAGCTTTTTCTGTAAATAAAAGGGGCAGCAAAGACCCAGGAACTAAGTGCAGGTTCTCCCCAGACTCCAGGACCTTGCTTTTTATTGAAAGGCAAATTCATACCCTGAAATACCAACCCCGCAGTACATCTCTCACTTTCCCTTACGTTTATCTTTGTCCCGTTTCTTTACAACTTGAGGGTGATGGGGACATGTGACAAGTTTATATCGCTTTTGGAGCTGTAGGACTCTGCCGCTCCAGAAGATTCAGTTATTTCTGTTTTTTATAACAGTGTTGCAGTCATCTTCCTGTTGGTCTGAGGAAAGGACCACACTGACCTGCTCAACCAAGAGCACCTCAGAAAGCCCAGAGCAGTACAGGGTCTCATGTGATCTCTTGTGCAAGACTGAAGGTCAAGTTGCTTTTGGGCTGCTCCCATCTCCCTGCTTTGGGTTTGAACATCCCATGTCCAAAAAGGGGCTTTCCTGCCCTACTTGGGTCACTGACAGCACACAGCCATGTTTCATCCCAGCAGGAATCCCTGGTGATGCCTTTCAGAAGGAGCAAAGCCTGCTTTCCAGGTGTCAGCTCCCACAGTACTGTTAGCTCCATGGTGCTCAGTGGTGTTGGTAACCTGGACCACATGGCCAGGACACTTTGGATGTGACAGCTTAGCGCTTCTTTTGTTTTCCATTCAGATAGTCGGAATTGGATGCCAAAGATGAAAATGTACCTGCAGTGAGCCTAGAACCGCCGTCCTTGGTCTCTCGCCCACCAGAAACTGCGAAGCAGATAATGCAGAAGGGGGATATCGGGAGTGAAGGGTTGGCTGGCAGTGCTGGAGCTTCTTCCTCCTGTACCTAGGACTCATCCCCTTGGGGAGTCCTCCAGGAGGTAGGAGTTGTGAGTGGAATAAATCCACTCCAGGCCAAGCAGTGTGTGCGAGCCAGGACACACATCACCCAGGGTTACCTGTCACCACCTCTAAATCCTCATTCTTTTGAGCAGAGTCCTTCTGCTAGGAGTCAGGAAAGAAAACACAGCATCAACCCTCCAGGGTCTCCTGGACAGCTCAGGAAGCTGAGGACAAGGCTGGACACTCGGACAAGAGCTGCTGTGCATGCACATATGTATGTACAGCATACGTATGCGTACATACAATATGCTGTCCCCATACACATCCAGTACTGCCCTCATTTTCCTGTGCCACTGTTGCCACTCTCCATTATTGGAGATTGTTTCAGAGAGAGAAACGGTGATTTAAGGCTATAAAAATACTTGACAGCTTAAAAAGGATCTTTTATATTGTCTAAAGTCAAGTGGCTGAGACTGGTTTTGTCCATCCAGTTATAGTTCAGGCTGTCATTTCACACATCATTTGATCATCACTCTCCCGTTGTATCATTTCTTTACTTGATGTTTTACCTTACTCCTGATAATGTGGAGCACAGGACTGAGGAAATGATCCAGGCTAAAATTAACCTCTTATTTTGTTTGGGGTTTTTTGGTGTTTGTTTGTTTGTTTGCATTGTTTGGTTTTTTCAGTATTCTTTCAAGTTTTGTTTGAATACAGTCCTGGTGGCTCTGATCTGCCACTGTTGTACCGACACTTGTGCCAGCTAAGGGAAGGGGTGATCCAGGAAAGACAAGGCTGGCACAAGCTAGGACTGCTGCAGAAAGCAGTTTGGAATTAATGGCCTTAATGAAGAAATCTGTGTCTCCTGCAGTGGTCCAGTTCATAGCAACGACACGGCTTTTAGATGCATCACTATGAGTGTTACCTTTGCAGTGTCCCACAAGCAGTTTCTCTGATGTTGGAATCAGATGTATCCCATTTCCACAGGTCCCAGAGGACTCCAGTGTTACACCATGGGAAGGGAGCAGCTTGGGAAGGGCATTCTGCTCCCATGCAGCCACCCAGCTGCAGTGGTTGGAGGTTCCTTGTTCAGCACGCAGCAGCATGTGAGGCAGCATGCCCTTCCCACAGCTGCCTGCTGCTGCATGGGAGCACACTCACACAACTGCAACAGGAATTACTTTGTGGTGAGCTTGGACTGAGCCTTAGCAGTGGGGGCAATAGAAGATGGTCTAAAAGTTCAAGTGTAGATTGGCCACTCAGTAATCTGAATTGTGACGTATTCCACCGTTCCCTGGTAAGGGGATTGTCTGCAGAAGAGGAGTCCTGCATTTTGGGCTCTGTGCTTTTAAAAAATAGGTATTTCCAGCTCTGGAACTGATAAAATGTTTTAATGATTAAGATACTATACCAAGCCCCATTGTCCCTACCTGATTCCTACTGCAATATCAGAAGCATCTCTGAGCCGTTCCTGTGTTTGGAAAGGGAAGCCGAAAAAGTAACGCAGCCTTGATATTAATCTCATATTAACCCAGTGGACATCACTGCACTGAGTTATTTGTTTCCATGTACAATTCAAGAGGTAAAATTAGCTACTATAGATCTACTCCTGATTTTCCACCTGGAAAGGTTGAAAGTCCACCCGGCCTTCACAGCTGAGCTCAACCTAGAGGAGAACTCAGCAGCAACATGCACAGAGGTTTGCTCCTACTGAGGACTGAAAGTCTTTAGTCAAGCATGGGGAGAATGAGTAAAAACGAGTGTGGATGATGAGTGCCTGTGCTGAGCACTGCTGCGTCTCCTGGGAAGGGATGCTTGAGCTGCAACCGCTGAAGAGCCCTGCCCAAAGGAGCTGTGTGCCCATCTGCCCTGGTGACAGGCAGCCATGTGGATGTAGCCCCAAGACCTGGCCACCGCTGGGGTTAAGCTTGGCATGGCCTCTGCACAGCCCTGAGCATTTGTCCCATCATAGCGTTTCCTGACAGTTTACATCCAGAACAATTGTTTACAGGGAAAGGAGGAATGTGAACTACATGGTAAAATTCACTTGCTGACAGAATGTCAAGAGCTCCCTGGGACAGCACCTGGAGAGCAATCTCTCATGCTTACTCCATGCATGGTATCTTTTGGGCTTATGTACAGAGTTTTCCTGACAGTAAGTGTTACATCAGGTATGATCTATGTTATATTACTGCTGGTTCATGACCTGTCTTACTGCTGATTACCTGTTTTCTGTTAAACGTAATAAAATGTAAATGCCAACCTGTTGAAAATCAGATGAAACCCACCTCTCAGGATGTCTTTGCTTCTGTATCACTATGGTGCCCCCAAGCCCTACCTTTCTCCATCATCCAGAGCCGGGGTGACAGCAGCCACCCTTCCAGCATATATGGAGCCCAGCTGGTCCTGTTAGAGGGTCACTACAAAGCCAGAGCAGCCCCACACTGGGATGTCACAAGCCGCTGCTGTGACCCCTCCTGGGTGTCACTCGCCCCAAACATGGGTGCAGCATGAGCGTGTGTGTGTGTGTTTTCAAGCCCTTCCAGCGAGCTTGCCCTGTACAGAGCCAAGCCTGCAACCTGTCCTTGCCACGCTCCTGCTTGGGTGTTCTCTGCCCAGCACCCATCACTCAGCCCTCAAGGGACAACACTTCTGACTGGCACAGACTGAGCACTGTGACATTCTGTGTCTGAAAAAGTGGTTTGTGCACATTCAGAGTTTTTCTGTTCACCTGAATTAATGGTTGCTGCCACTAGGAACATCTTTCCTTGCACTATGAGAAGTCTGTAGGCAACAAACATAGAGTAAGATGTAGCATCTGAAAAGCCTGGGAAGAAAAATGTCTTCCTTTTAAAGAATTATTGGTAAATATGCTCAAGTAAAACATACCAGCTGGACATCAGCACCATAATTCACTCACTGGAGTGGGAAATGCATGTGCCATGCTAGATGTGTGCTGGAGAAACAAGCTAAGATATGGCAAGTAACAGAAATCAGAGCTAAAAAGATTCAGAGTCTTTCTAAAGACAGACTCAGAAACTTAATATTGGGGGAAAGCAGTATTTGGAGAAAAAAAAAAATCCCTTACAGCTAACTGATCTGAAGTATTTCTTTCCAAATAAACATACTATGCTACTTCTAATGCTGATTTCCGTTTTGATAACCCTTTGCAGAGCAGCACAATGCACTTTCGTAACAGAGCTGACACCTGGGTCTCAGGAAGACCCAAACCAGGTTACAAAACGTAGATCATAACCCATGGGTGGTGGGAGATAACTGTTGGGGGGTTTTAGTTATTCATTTATTAGTTAGTCATTATTGACTGGTTGCTCAAAGACCATGAGTTGGACTCAGGTGCCGCATGGACTCAGGTTTTGGCAGAACCA